CATTGCTAAGCCGAGTCAGTATAGAACATCCATGGATAGTGATGGGGACAAAGAAAAGGACTTACATCACAGCGAAAATAATGTAAGTCTTGTAACCAATGCTTTCAAAAGCAACTGGGGTAATCATGACAACCATGAAGTTCCAAATCCAATTGGAAGAAGTAGACAACGCGTTGGCTGGGGCACGAATCTTCAGTGGGACAATCTCGGCCGGATACAGCCAAGTCATCCCAAGCCAGCCGATGGCAAAAAAGGTGTTGAACACAAACAAGAATACTGTCTGGGCCACACCGGCCTTGATACCTATAGAAGTCTTTTTGTGGCTTGAGGAAATGCTGTCCGAGATAGCAAGCACCACCATTGAGATCGACATTCCGACAGCACCGAAGAGCATGAGTGTTCGACGGCCAAACTTTTCAACGGTGAACACGGCTATCCAGGAGGCGATGAAATATTCCGTGCCGTTACATGCAGAGATAAGACGTGAGGTTGTGGCATCCAGTCCGACCTGTTGCTCCAGAAGAGTGGGAATATAGTAGGTGATCAAGTTAATGCCAGAGATCTGCTGGAACATTTGGTTGACATATGCCAACATAGTGCGGTGGAAATGACGGTCCTCGCCCATAGTGAACATATCCCGGAATGATCCCGTTGCCATTTCGAGAACAGTGGCCTTGATAGCGGTGAATTCAGTGTCGATGAACAACTCATCAGTCTCGTCACCCATCAAGCATGCCAGGACCTCCTTTGCTTCTTCCTCGCGACCCTTAAGAATAAGCCAACGGGGTGACTCGGGAAGGAACATTACGAAGATCAGAATAATGGCGGCAAAGAAGATTTGGAATGCCAGCGGGAATCTCCAAGCGACTTCGTTTGGGTCGGCGAACATCAGTCCGAAATTAATCCAGTAACTGATGGTTATACCGCAGGTGATCATGGCCCCCTCAATCATGACCATCTGACCTCGTCGATGAGACTTGCAGCATTCTACTTGATGTTAGATTACTTTCACTGTCCAGTGCCAATCTCACCAATCCATCCTCCGCAATCATCGAGATATACCAGCAGGGTTGAATCGGAACATGGGGCGGAGATTGGCTGAAGTTTGGCTTACCTGACTGCCAAGTAGGCACCGTGGAGGTGTTGATTCCATTGCCTGCAGTTCGTGTCAATGGATTACTCCCTCACGTGTTCTGCTCATACTAACCGAACCCAGTGACCAATCGACCGATGACAAGCTGAGCAAGTCCATAAGATGTGCATTGAAGAATGGCACCGATACACATAATAAAAGAGCCGAGAAAAATAGCCCTGCGACGACCCAAAATATTACCGATCCAAATTGTGGGAATCGAGCCTGCGAAACATCCCAGGTTGTACGCTGCGACTGTGATACCTTGTCGGGTTGACTGGTTACTCTTGGCTGAGGGGCTCCAGTGCTCGGTATACGATTCTAGAGTATTGATCTCCGGGAAATATTTGACGAAAGAGTCGAGTGTCAACAAACCGCCAGTCACACCTTGATCATAACCAAACAGCAGGAAGTCCATGCCGGCCAGAAAGCCGATAGCGATCTGGACCTTGGTGCCATTAAGGCCCAAGAACCGCCTAGTCCGCATAATGGCGTGTCTATGTAGCTTGAACCTGCCAATATATAGACCGGACCAGCCAGAAGATTGCAAAATGAAGAATATAAAACCATAAAGAACGATCAACGCGGGGGCACTCGGTCGGTTTTAAAAAGCCTCCAGGGGCCCTCCCCTACAACATACGCTGTACACCAAAGCAAACACATGAGGTGATTTGAAGAGTAATTAATGCTTATGGCCCACCAATTTCCCAAATCAACCCATGCGGGCAACCAGGCTCAATGTGGATTGGCTGTTCCCATCACGTCCGAGTTTAGAATTTGCACGGAACATTGTAGGTCAGCCCGATACATTTCCACGTCTTTGGGGGATCTGGTGTGCCCACGCGAGATAAGCCAATCAATTTTCGTCTCAACCGGGCAAATACAAATTCACCGGGGTAATCCTTCGGCTTCTCCAGACTCAGTTAGCGGGTGTTTTGGGCTTGTGCAGGATCAGAGCCCGCCGATCACCTTTCCGCCTGTCAGATTTCAGTTTGCCAGTTGAAACTGGGAAATGTCAATGCCAATTTACGCCACCAAGTGCCAATAATAGCTTGTTATTTGCTTAACAGCCCCTCTGATCAGCCCTGGGCGCAGGGTCACCTGGGGAGTGTTCATATGAGAGGGCATTAGTTGGTGAGGAGTCTCATAGGTCTTTCCATCCTCGAATGCGGTACTGCGTACTGTACATGGGGAAATATGAAACTGTGCTAGCAATCGCAAAGGTGAAATATAATATGGTGAACAGTCTAAAATATATAGCTTGGCGCCTAGAAATCTCTTTCAGCCTCTTGTTCCTATAAAGTCTTCGACCTCGGAACACTTCCACATGTGCAACGTATACCCTAGGTTGCCTTATTTATCGTGTGCTTTTTTCACTTTAGGTCAATTTTAGAGGGAAAAAAAGGTGGGAAAAAAAGGTGGGAAAAAATGAAAAAGGAAAAAGGAAGATCCTGGCAACGATATACACGAGGCCACCAATCCCCACTTTAGACGGTTTACCACGTTGCGCGTCTCTGTTTTGTTCTCTCCACTACTCCGTTCTCCCTAAAACATATGGGGCCGAATCCTGGGGAACAATGCAACTTGCCTAGTCAGGCAGTTCCGGCCGCAGCCCACTTCTAGAATATATACTGCCCTTGCGTCCGCCACCTAAATCACCTGGCTTGACTCGCAGAGTTTAGAACAGGGCGTGCAGATCGCGGCCGATGACTGCCTTTCGGGGCACTCTAGCCAGTGCGTGTTTCCGCATTTCGCATTTGCATGAGTTTGGATATTACGAGAGTGTACCGGCGTCGGGTTCCAAACCTGGTGTCATAACGGGGTCTCGAGTGCCCCGAACATAGGTTAGGAGAACTACATATATATTCTGTCTGTTTTTGTAGGCGACACGTTCTATCGATAGAGATTCGAGTTACTCAACATTTACTCCGTAATTACGTACTTTATCGCAGGCGCGGCCCCTCTAACTAACTAAAAAACACTCACGCAGCTGAAATAGTTGTTGCATCTACCAATACTCTCAACCAATCCACCTTCATGTTCATTTATGCTCTTCCATCCTGTTTCACTACCACTCTCAGCAGTTTATGAGCTCCAGAGCTCACTGCCAAGCTCTTCGATCGCCGCGAGGCATCCTTCCTCCCACTCAATAACCAGCCCCAAGCCTTAATGTTCCTCATGGCACAACTGTTAGGTCTCGGTACATATTCATGCCGTCTAGTCTACATGCATCGACAACAATCAACTTTGATACCACATATCATCAAACTTGGCAAAGCTAAGTCTTGGTTAACAAATCACGTACAACCCGTGAAGTCTCAGGTATTGCTTGCGCTATCCCACTGACACTTCGACTCTCATCACCACGAAGCTCGTCACAATGCCTTCTATCCTTGTCGTCGCAGACAAATGCCCACCGGACTCGCACAAGAAAGAAGACATTCCAACTCAGGCCTCGTTTCCGTGAGCACGGATGCGGTGATAGCAAAGAGGCCGGGAAGCAATATAAACCGGCCGAAGAAGGTTCCGGGATGTGACCTCCAGATTTTCATTGGTAAGAATAGAGCCCGTGGAAGAATAAAGTTGGAGATCAGCTCACGTGCATTCCTCGGGATAATATTCACTCAACATACATCGGTGATGGATCAGGATTCCTAAAAGACCTGCTGGCGCCAGAAACATGTTACTCAGATGCCACTTCTCTCTGTCCCTTCGAAATGAGGCTTGAGGTACTCGTTATTGCCGAGTCCCGTATGTACTTGCCAAGGGAAATTTTATGTCTTCTTCGCGCTAAAAATCAGATCACCAGAATCCTTCAAATTCATAAATCTTAATCAGTCCTTTAATGCTCGATTTCTAATGTACAAATGTAGAGTTTACAAGGATGGTGTTATGCATGCCCAAACTGCTGATACAATACTTAACGAGTGCTGTCGTGGTCTGGTGGCTACCCACGTTTATTACACCTCCAACAATCTGCACTTCATGAAATATATAATTTCATAGATGGAAAGTAGCCCGGTCGAAATCATCATTGGTGGACCCTATAAGGAAACTGGTGTATTTTGACAATAAAACACACAAGCCTTTGTGCGAGTTAATTGGTTATACAGAGGTGGCACATTGACCGGTAGGTTCGTAAAAACATAGTTTAGAAAGCTATTGAGGTTGACAGTATGAGTATCGCCTTCACATAAATTGAAAAACAAAGTCGGGTTTAGTCCTGGGATGAACTGTCATTTACGGAGCACAAGGACTGAATCTCAGTGCCTTCAGTCTTCTTTGGAAAAACCAGCAGAATCTTGCGTTGGCTTCCAACTATTTATTGCAAAAGTATCTACCCATCATATGCTCTGTATTTAGTGGGTTTACAGTCTCACTGGAATGCAGGGTCTCGAGATCCATCATGTTGGGAGTGATCGACCTTGAGTAACTAACAATATCAATGATACAGCCTTCGGAAGTCATCATTAGATTAATTACTCAATTGCAGAGCGGACATATTTAGAGCATGACCGATATTCTTTGAGCAAGGATATAAATGCTGCTTGGGTCTAGCAAGCATCGTCTCGGGGGATACGTACTGCATACCACTCAACATAGCAAGAATGCGACCAAGGGAAAGGGAAATACTCCGAGCACAAACCAAGATATAAACCCCTTGCTTTACCGGGTTACATCCGGCTGTAGTAATGTAGGCACATAGACGTCCTACAAGAAAAGTACTGTACATCCACACTTGGACTTAATTTGGTTTTTACCTTCCTATTTCAAACAACCTTCAGACTTCAGCACGGATGATTCGACCAAACGTACTTTTTATGAGTTCTCGCGGTTTCGATAACTGGGGAATTTAACTTGCTGCTTAATGGCAGGCTGTTCAAGCATGAGAGATTTCGGGGATCAAGCCTACGCCAATCGAGATGACATCCCACTGAAAGAGACTGGAACCGAGAGTGATGATGAAGAAAAGCAAGTTTATCCACCGAGCTCAAAGCTTGCTCCGATTTTGATAGGACTTTGCTTTCAATCTTTTTGTATCGCCTTGGTAAGCTTCAAGTTATTGTTACAATTTCATAAGCTAATGTGCACAACTTACCAGGACAACACGATCCTCTCAACCGCTGTTCCCAAGATTACCGAACAATTTAACTCACTAAGCGACTTATCGTGGTATGCCAGTGCTTATCTCCTAACGACATGTGCCGTCACCCTACCATTTGGCAAGATATACACGTATTATTCGACGAAGTGGACATATATTATTGCTCTCGGCTTGTTTGAACTTGGGTCTCTAATATGTGCAGTGACACCGACATCCAAGGGATTGATTCTTGGGCGAGCAATTGCTGGTGTCGGATCTGGAGGATTGTCGCCGGGTGCTCTACTCGTGCTCGCGAATAGTGTGCCCCTTCACAGACGTGCCCTCTATTTCGGGATCATCGGTAGCACTAGTGGAATTGCGACGATCACAGGACCATTGTAAGTCTCGCTATTTCAATCACATAGAATGGAGGCTGATTTCCTCATAGGCTAGGGGGACTCTTAACTGATCATGTCAGCTGGAGATGGTGCTTTTGGATAAATCTACCTTTTGGTGTCCTCACTGGCCTAGTCATTTTGCTCTTCTTCAAGGACTCCACATCGTCAAAACCCAGAATAAGCCGCCTTGGGCAGCTAAAGCGAATGGATCCCCTTGGTGTACTTGCATTCATCCCCGCGATCGTCTCCCTTCTATTGTGCCTGCAATGGGGCGGCACCAAATATAGCTGGAGCAATGCTCGAATAATTGCCCTATTCGTTCTGTTTGGCGTATTCGGGTCTGCATGGTGTCTTATCCAGGTCTGGAAGCAGGACGACGCTACAGTTCCGCCTCGTTTACTCAAGAATCGAAATGTGCTTGGGGCAGTGATTCACGCTACATTCCTAGGTGGCTCCTTTTTCGTCTTTGGATACTATGTGGGTGCTGAATACAATCCTCTCGGATTCATTGCTAACAAGTTTCCAAGCTCCCTATCTGGTTTCAAGCAGTCAAGGAAGATTCTGCATCAGAATCTGGAATCAACAATCTTCCGATGGTGGTGGCTATGATTGTATTCTCTGCTTTAGGAGGACTGCTGGTGAATATCGTTGGATACTATACGCCACTCATGTTCGTTGGAAGCGCATTTCTCACGATTGGCTCTGGACTGTGTACAACTTTTAAAGTGAACAGCGGACACCCGCAGTGGATTGGATACCAAGTCATTCTTGGAATTGGAGCAGGACTTGGCTTTCAGCAATGCATCAACGCACTTCAGACTGTACTGCCATTACGTGACATACCGGTCGGAATTGCCATCATCACATTTGCACAGAGCCTCAGTGGCGCAATGTTTATTTCGATTGCCCAAACCGTTTTTCAGAATCGCCTTGTGGCAAGCATAACGGCCTATGCTCCCAATATCAGCACAGACGCATTAACAAAAGCTGGGGCCGCAAATCTGTCCCACCTCGTGCCCAAAGATGTACTGTCCTCCGTTCTACACGCCTATAACATTGCCATCATCCAGACATTCTACGTGTCTGTTGCTGCCGCACTGTTATCTTTTATTGGTGCTGGACTTGTTCAATGGAAGTCCATGAAAAGACGACAGAAATATGACGACGCAGCTCGATCCAGTCAATAGGGGAGTTGACGGTTTTTCTGATTGGTTAATATTCTATGTTGTTTTTGGTTTGTTCAAAGGCATTTTCCGTCGGGATGCTTGTAAATAAGGACGTTCAGATTGTCAAGAAAGTGAATAATTACCACATAACATGTGGATTCCAAACGTGATCTTAATCTTAGACCTAACACAGCCAGTTGAGGTAAACAGACAGATCATAGATACCTGAGAAGCAACCCCTTGAGATAATCGATGCTCTGCTTGATGAAAATCTCGAAATTGCGGAGAAATCGCAGTATCTGATCCTCGCTGCAATTTTTTTTTTTCTTGCATTTTTTCGTTTCTTCCAGCCTAGAGGATGCAGCAAGACTCCGGGCGCACTGAAGCCTTCTTTGTGCCAGCACCACGACTGCCTCCCGAATTAGCCAGAGGAACAGCCTCCAAAGAGGGTTCTGGAGACTGTTTCCCAGACATGACTCGTATGCGGTGGCTATCCAAGGTAGAGGCTAACCATATAGCACGGCTCATCCATGGCACGTCCGCAAAATCAGACTGGTATTCATAAAGGATCGCCTCTATCTTTGCCAGCTGGACTAGATTATATGATGCCGCCCAAGCGACAACCAAGCATAGGGGAATATACCCTGCCCCAACCGGCCGGTAGCAAGATGCCAGTTCGGCTTGGATTGTAATCTCATCGCAGAGAAAGACAGCTTCACTCACCAAGGAAGCGTTCCAGGGATCAAAAACCCGGAGAAGACTGTTCAAAAACACAGCCAGCGTAGAGAGGATGGCATAAGCTGCTTGAATACGGCAATGTCTCGCAACTTCAGAGGATGAGAAAGACACAAGAACAGCTTCTGCACATTGATCAAGATGTTGCTTTACTTGCTGTGCATCGAGTCTCAGTTGCATGTATGTCTTTGCGATTTCGGAAAGGTGTGGCTCAGGGTTTTGGACAAACTCGGGAAACATGGCAAGATGTTGCAGCTCGGTGGTTGATTGAGGCCGATTGTTGTCCCGCGAGGCAGATAGACGACGTTTGAAGGATGAGGCCAGTTGCCAGAATTCCGAATCCATCTTGATACGGGGATTGACGATGCCTTCGAGTATCTATTCGAACCCTTGCTTGTAAGTAATTTCTCATGACTTTAACTGAATTTGTTGTTGTGAGTAATCGGAATGCAGACATACTATAGGCACACAAAGTGTGATGACCAGCTCCATCTCAAATGTGCTTTTCCATTCATGTAGTGCGGCAGCCCTGAGGAGATGAGCGATAGCTTCGCTGTGGCTAGTCAGCAAATCATCGTTTTTTCCTAACCAGCTCTGACAAATCAGCTCCTATTTCATGGATATTGCTTTTTGGGGTTAAATAGAGGGTCAGGCAAAGTAGTGCTTTACCTGGCAAATGGTAATCAAATAGACAGCACATAGTGTGTTGGGAGTTCGGGCCTCGACCGGATTGTTCAAGCATTCTCTCAGTGCCCGCAGTGATTGTCCATAGAGAACGAGTGCATTTGGTGGGTAAGAGCCCGTGTGAAGAAATGGATAAGCGGTTGATAAGGCTCTCACAGCTGAATCTAGTACGGTGCTGTTGCCCAATCGCCGAGGAATATCCCGCAGGAAAGGCCCATAGTAGGCAATAGCGTATCGGATATCAGTGACCTGGAATGCTGCTACAAAGGCTGCTGCCATTCTACTTGCTTCAGTGCTGGGCACCCGTGTCGGTCCCCCAATGAACACCACTCTCTTGCCAGGAGAGAAAACAGATCGCTGAAGACCTGATTGACCTTCTGCTCCGGTTTGTGTTTGCATCACTTTGACCGATTGATTCTTGAACATGTACCGCTGTTGTCCTCCCCCAACGCACGTGATTTTCAGACGCGCGCATCGTGAGCACGTCGGTCTGAGTTGATCACACTAATCATTCAATTAATAACATACAAGAAGTTAGCGTTTCGGGGAGGACCAAACCTTCTTCTTCACCTTGCGACACGCATCGCAGCCCCGACTAGATGGAACCCCAGGCATGTGTAATATCAGACGTGCGTCACTAGGCGCTATTGCATTTGTTTGTTCTAGCCTGGTATACGGTGGACGATGAAATATGAGATGTGTATGCTGGGTAGAACCATCCTCAAATGGGATGGATGGTGCGACGAGATATATTAATGCGACGTCAAAGGTTGGCTGTCACAGCCCCCAGCTAAGCCCCTTCCTGTACGGAATACGGAGTACATCGAGATTACCTTGGCAAGCACAGCTCCACCTGGGCAGGGCTGAGTCCTCGTACAAATGAGCCAATCATAATATGTTACCTAGGGTCTGTACTGAGCACAGTCCACATCCCGTAATGCGGCGCACTATCATGCCCGATTGGGAAATAGCAGAGAATACCTATGTTGTAGGTAGCCATAGACCAAGGTCCGCAGTCTAGCGATCAATGCAACTTCAAAAAGCACCCCCAAGAGGTACAAAACAATCGAAAACCGATGAAAAGGCCATAGCTAGTCTTCCACACTCTTAAACTAGTCTGGTTACGCTTCGACTCCTATTTCAGAAGAACCGCTGTCTCATTGAATTGAACCGTATGGCGTTCTTTTCTTCTTTCTCTATCAATAACGAGTCTTCCAATCGACAGTCCTCTATCTCATTCTCGCTGCGACCAGCGCCATGGGACTCAAAGACTCTGATTCACCCTCCAGGCTATCCGATAGAAGCACCGCCTATGTGCTCCATCATATCCAAAGATAGCGCTCCCAACGCTGCATTGTCTCGGGGCTGGGTGAGGTTCCATGGGACATGGTCGGCCACGCTCGACTTCCAAACCTGTCTTCCAAAATACATCTGACCTTCTACGGCAAACCAATAAACATTAAATTGGCGGTGTGGAAGGCGGCAAAATTTAGTATGGAGAAATGCGCACTTGGCGGCTATGCACTGCCGTTTGGACCTGTTGCTTGGCTGTGTATTTCTTTTTTTTCTTGTTATTCTGATAATTCTTAGCCCATATACATCTGCATAATCAGGTATTTACTACCATATTACTAGTACACTAGATGTACCTAGGTGATCTAAAGCAAATCTTATCTGAACTGTTCTCATCGTGTAAAGGATAAGTATCCTTGACAACCTGAGGTACACCAGTGTTTGATATATTTAGATTCTTTGGTCTTTGCCCATGGGACCCGTGGACTTCTTCGTTGCTTACCAAGGATGGAGTATGTGATCATCCTGAGTATTGCATTCACAAAAAGGGACTTAGAGACATGATGGAATCATCATTATTACATGTACGATCCAGTGACAAAACAGGAGGAAAGCGCTGGTTTTAGCAAGTTCCAGGGCCTTTGCAGAAGGAATACCATACATTATCACCTAGCTCGCGCCTCATCACTGTGCCTAATCCCATACTAGGGTACTAGCGCTCCTGTCTATATATATCGTAACTAGCCCAAGGTGAGCCGCTTCTAGTCTAGTCGCACAGTACCATTTAGAAGTGAACTGCATATTCAGAGTTGCTTGGTGTTGTTCCGACCCAGACTTGGTACCTCCGAGCCACAGATGACTTCACCGCTGGATATCCCATCCGAGACTACATTGGTAATTGACAGGAGCTGACCCTCCTAATCCCTTCTTTTCTTCCTCTTCTTCATCATCGTCCCTTACTGCGTATCATCCTTCACCTACCGTGGCTTCTTCTGTTGACTCCTCCTCTCGCAAAGTGGCTTCTGAGCCTTGGGCTAACCTGGCGTTCGATGAAATTTGTCATCGGCTGGAGGTATTCGTTGCCGGGAAAAAGGCATCCGCGTCGTTTGTTTGTGGGGGTCAGGTCCCCATTGATGCTAGATCCATACCATCCAAAACCACCTCCGTATCCCCGCCAGTGAGGATCTGCTGGCGGACAGATCGTGACAATAACCTGCGAGAGTTGGCTCTACCTCTTGACTCGAACGCCGACTCCAAAGCTGAATCTGATTATTTGCGTCAATTGGTAGCAGACTGCAAACCTGCTAGCTTTGGCAAGGGACAGGAAGATGTTCTTGATCCCAAATACCGAAAAGCTGGAAAACTTGAGCCTCGACATTTCCTCACCAGCTTCCACCCATCAGACTTTGGAATCCTTCAGAATGTGGAGCAAATTCTCCTTCCAAACTTCAACACGGACCTGGAAAATCGTCTACCCTTCCGAAAAATGCATGCTGAGTTATACAAACTGAATGTATGATAATCCAACACTTCTTCTGCAATAAATACTAATGCTCCTGTTAATGGTAGGTCTACTCAGGACCATCTGGTCTTTTCAGAAAGCATGTTGACACACCGCGATCCGAGAGCCAGATCGGCTCACTGGTCGTTTGCTTACCATCTCATTTTAAAGGGGGCAACTTGATTGTCCAGCACGAGGGAAAACAAGTTGAGTTTGACTGGAGTCACCAGAGTGCGTCTACGATTCAATGGGCAGCATTTTATAGTGACTGTGAGCATGAGATCAAAAGGATCACGGAAGGGGATCGTATCACCTTGACGTACAACCTCTACGTAACCGAGCCAGTGCGGGGATTAATTCCACCAAGCTTAATTGTTGACCCAAAGAGCCTGCCGCTGTATAGCTTTTTGGAAGGACTTGTCAAGGAGCCTAGCTTTATGGAAGAGGGTCAGTTTGCCAGATGAAGTCATTTTAACGAGCACTAAACTAACTATCCCCAGGTGGCGCTTTAGGGTTCTTTTGCTCTCACGCTTATCCTCACGCATCTGATGAGGCTCCAGTGCTACTTCCGAGAGCACTTAAGGGGGCTGATCTTGTGCTTTACTCTGTTTTCAAATCCCTTGGATTAGAAATTGATATTCTCCCCGTAATTTTTGACGACTCTTATGGTCCATCTAACGAGAAACATGGTGAGCAACCCCTCCGAAATAGAATACTCCGAGTTTTCTCTCAAAATTGGCATGCGCCCTGGGAATATTGATCGCTACTAGAGATATATCCTTCTTTCCCGCCGGAGGATTGTCGCAGGTGCAAATGGTCGCTATCTGAGTCTGCTAACAAGTTCCAGTGCGAATTGGAGACCGCCTACATCCGTACAAAACATCTGGCATGATGAGTGGTGAGGAGGGTGACGGAAATGTAAGCGCGGAATATGAAGGTCGTCAGCTGGAGAATCAAACAGCTAATGTGGGGCATCTACTTTAGGCAGTCGAGCTCGATTGGGCGGGCGATTATAGGCCAGAAATCACATGGATCGGCTCTCCAACGCACGAAGAGCTGGCCCTTAGCTTTATAGCTTACGGAAACGAACCTTCTCTCGGCACAGCCTACTCTTGTGCAGCACTGATAGCCGAGATCCCACCATTCCTAGAGCGACAGGGACTTGTTCTACCGTGAGCTTCGTCGGGTATTTGCTGATATGGAACGATTCGTGTTTGCTGTCTTCGATATGTGACATTCACCAGCTGGGCTTCGGCTTTGCTTGACTGATTTTCTGTTCTCTCCATATCATGTTGTCGCTTTCCTTTGCGAGATGAGGCGGAATATGACTTTGTTATGGCTTTAAGAAATGAGACAAAATTCGCTGTAGTGTCACTTTCTACCTAGGTACAATATCTGAATTCCTACAATGTCAATTTCTATAATATCTTGATTTTTAAAGGTTGTATATAAAAGGGTCTATTTTACTAATTAAACCTTCTTTGGCCCTTTTCTACTATCTACCCCACAAACTAAGAAGGTGGAGAATATATATATATAACTAGACATCTAAAAAGACTACCCAACGAGACTACTAATAAAGACTACCTAAGAAGACCACTAGAATACGGCCGTATAAGCGGCCGTCTATTCTTGTCTATAATAACTCGATTTCCACAACATCTCAATTTCTACAAGATCTTAATTCCTACAATATCAACTTCTATAGTGTCATTTTCCACACTATTAATTTCTATCAATTCCATAGTCAATAAAACACACATATGACTAATTTTATGAAATGTTCTGCTGGCAAGATATGATACGGCGCGCTGCCGGCTATGCACTGCCGTAGTTCAACCAATCAGAGAAATGGAATGCGAGCGAATACGACATACGAATACTACCCGTATACGAATACATATACGGATCGGCTAGAACCAGTCCGGTGCGGGAACAGAGCTACTAAGCCTAATTAAGCACTATTGCGAAGGAATTTAATAGAGAAGAGGCCCTATCTTGAAATAAGAGGCTAGACATTGAATTTTAGAGAATAGGGCGTATTAATGGGCTTATCTGGGGGAACCGAGGCTTAAGGCTAGAAAACCGAGCACAGGGTGCCAAGCGGGCAGGGCATATCGACAGCCTATTGGGAATTGACAACAAATCAGCCTACTATTATGCCAGGATGCCGTTAACTTCGGTGGAGATTTTGCTTGCGTCACGCTGACTAGGGCCAGTTGGGGCCTTAGCAAATACGGAGTAGCGTGTTTTTAATGGAATTTTCCTAAAATGGACAGATTCGGTATACGGAAACTGGGAAGATTCTGATGTCCACGGGTATTTTACATATTGTCGCACAAAGAAATTTCTAACCAGACGCCTCTCCCGGGGTAAGCACTCTATTCTAACGAAAAAGAAAGGCATTGGGTAGCATCATGAGAAATCAAGACTGGGGTGAGATCGGATATTGCAGGTCGAGGCTTGCATGACAAGGCGAAGCTGTGCCATAGCTTGGACGTCTATTATATCTCAAGATTTAGGTATAATGAAGCCCATCAGGGCGAGGTGCTGTACAACTGAACTTCCAAAAAACTCTATGTCTTTGGTTTGGGCCAGCCATCGATGTCTCCGAACCATCGCGACCGATAGATTTCATTCCCTTTCATGATCTGGTGACGCACACCATCGACGACGAGACTGGTATAGTTCCCTCGGAATAGTCGCCATAGAGATTGAGTGTATAGGAAGCTTCCATCCGGGGCGAGACTGAAACCCTTGAGGTCCGACTGCGGCAAATCCACGTATTCTCCCTGGCGGTTGATCCCGTGACGGTCGTTGGTGGTGACCTCGAAGCCGGGCATATATTTCTCCACGACTTCGTCGTATTCAGCGGTGAAATTCATTTCATCGATATCGAAAGCGTGGAGACCGATATCGTTGGAGACGAGTAATACTCGTTCATTGGGGACGGGAACGAGATCATGGGGACCGGCCCACCAGCTGTATCCATGTCCCCATTCAAAGTCAATATCGTAATACTCGGGGAATCGGAATCGATAGGCCTCATCCACGCGGAGTAGGCCCGTCTCGGCATCGAAGGGGTATCCCTGAATGACGCCGTAGGCCGGAACGGGATCGGAACCATCGGCAGCAGCATCGGTGCCAGTGGCCCACAACATCTGGCCCTGTTCATCCCAGATCATGGCGTGGATAGCCCTGAGACCTTCGATCTTTTGCAATACGGGAGGTTCATCGACGAGGGGGAGAGCCTCGCTCATATTGTAGACCAAAATGCCGTCCCAAGGTCGCTGTCCAGTAGTTCCGACGGCGAGTCGATCACCGGGCAAAGGTTCGATAGTATGGGCATTGTGTAGGACATCGTTCGCTCTATTGAGGGCGAAGGTGATTTTCTTATCGGTAGAGGGTTGATCGGGAGTGTGGTTGATAACGACGATGAGAGCACTGTAGACGGCAGCCACGCTTTTACCGCCTCGCATCCACTTCATATCGGTCGCATCGTTATAACCGCTATATAAACCGCTCTGAATCAGAGGAGGCAGAGGTTGCGTGACATCTTCTCGCTGCCAACTCCATTTGACCACACTGTTCCGGTCATGAATTTTCAATATGGGAGGGACCGCATAATGGCCGGTGATGATATCTTGCCAGGAACCCTGTACGGGAATAGCTATACCATTTTCTGACTTGAGTCTGGGTTGAGGTTGGATAAGAGGAACTTGAAAGGCCAGTGGCTCGAAGAGGAGCGAGACCCAACTGAATAAGCTCCCTAACATGATGGACACATGTCTCCAAGAGGAGAAGAGGACAAGGCGGATTTTATTTTATTTTTTATTTTTTGGTCGATGCCGGAGAGCGGGGCTTTTCTTGGCTTTGGGAGGCTTTGGGAGGCTTTTGGGGCTTGAGGACGGGGGGCCTTGGGCGCTTAGGAGTACTTTGGGGGCCATTTCCTGAATTATTCGTATTAGTACCTGGTTAGTAACTAAGTTAGTTACCTAGTATATAAGTAGTTATGGAGTAATTAGGGATTAAATCCAATCAGATTCACTAAAAAACTAAAAATATAATTGACTCCCTAAGACATTGAGACCTCAAATGGTACCCGTACGGAGATACGACTCCCTCGGTCATCGTCCCCACAAAATCCCACTTTGGCTTGACCCTTTGGGGGCCTTCTTCTTCCTTGAATTCTTCCTCTTCTTCCTTTTTTTTCTCTTTAAATGTCGGGGGTGTGAAGTATATATATATACACCATTTCATTCATTCATATACATATACCATGAAAGTCGTTCACGCTGTTCATGCGTATTTAAGCCACGGCATCCGGCGTGTTCGTCTCTCTCCTGGTGAGACCCTGGATGCCGTCTGGGACTTTTCTCGTCGCTATTTTTTCACCCTGGCCTTTCTTTCGTTATTCAGCGCCAAATTACTTCATATTTACGCTCATATATATTCTCTACCTCTTCCCCGTCTATTTTTATGGGGTCTTACCTTCTTTTTCCAAGATGTGATGATTCTATTGCTGTTTCGCATCCTCGTTCAGAAGGTCGCGTGGCGACCGGGAGCCGCCCTACTGGCAATCTTGGTAATCCCGTCTAGGTAAGTGTCCACGTGCCCCCTTTTCCAACTTCAACTTTTGCATTTTTTATGTCTTCTTTCAATTTCATGTGTATTGGTCTGATTGTAATTGATTGAAACTAATATAACAATATGCTTACAGTTTACTTGTCTCCTTTATGGCTGCCGCCAATACCTCCTTCTACGTTTTCACCGGTGCCGAGATCCACTGGCGCCAAGCCAAGTCCTTCAATGGTGATGCCGCTGCCATTCATACCCTGCTCACTGGTTTGACTGGGTTTTTGATTGTCGAAGGCATCCTCCTAACAATCTCATTGTTCGCTGCCCATTCCATTCATGCAATCACTGGAGGTATCCTGCATGTCTGGGCCTGGCCCGTTCGATGGCTGTTTGCTCGTGTGCGACCGCACGTGGAGCCCCTGGTGCAGCGCTTCTGGCCGTCCAAGCCAACCCCGGACCTTCCCGATCCTCGAATCTACGAACAAATAGACATGGACGAAAACGATGACAGTGACAACGAAGAAGCGGACCATCTGTTGAATACCGCTCAACTACCCAACCGCCTCCCGGAGTCCAAGCGAGTCACCGATGGTGTGCCTCAACGGGCACTCATCCTGGGATTGTTCAGTCTCTTCCTCTTCCTGCGATTTATGCGACCGTGGGACCAGGTATATATGTACATGTCCACCACCTTGCCCTTGACTACCGTTATTGAGGGCGCGGAGCGTCACTCCCCCGTCGTTACCACTGGCACACCGGGACGTTTCGAGTATTTGGATGGGGTCACCGCATTAGGCCCCGCACCCCGTTGGAGCTGGATGTCAAAGGAACCCATCGCCGGTTTCGAGGACTGGGATCAATCCGACCCTTTGGCCCTTCACTACAACCCGCATGGGGACCCATTGCATATCTCCAACCTCGACAAGCCGGTGCTTGAGGAGATTCATAACGCATTGGCTAGCGGTGATGTTAAGATCAAGCATGTCGTTTTCTTGAAACTCGAGAGTGCACGTGCCGATATCTTCCCCCTGCAAAAGGACAGTTTCATGTACAAGCGCATCGCGGAAACGTGGAAGGATAAGACGATCCCCCCAGAGGTTGTAGACCGCCTTGCAAACCTCACCCGGACTGCCGAGTATCTGACCAACTTCCCCAATGGATTTGACCACGACGATGCCCGTT